ATTTCATCGCTCATTTACCGACAGAGAAAGCGTTGTTACGAGGCGATTATTCTTATTTACGCCGTGAAACTGAATGGGATTGGATTCGTTATAATCGTTTGCTGGTTAACGCAGATTAAGAAACGATGAGTGAGATCGTTTAATTAATGATATCCGATTTGCATAGAAATATGGTGACAATTTATTTTCAGATTTCTACTGATACGCAATGTCGATAGACAATTTAAATTAGCATTGCAAAATGAAAATGAAGATTTAAACGTTCAAGAGATGGATATTCGGGCAAATATTTTTTGAATTATTAATACAGTGTTCTAGATCGAACATGTTGCGTTGTTTATTACGAACATGGTATATTTCATAATTGGAGAAGTTTTGAACATTCGAAGGTCATCTTTACGCTCGGTCTTTTTCTCTTTTTGATGTAAGAATCGCGTGATTTTTTTTTTTCTCTCTTTTGTACGTGCAATGGCAGGAAAGATACGAAGAGCAAGATATAATCAAGTTTCTCATGCCAATTAAATTAAATGGAATTCTACTCAACTTCTTTTCGATTTTTATCTCAGCAAAACAATCTTGAAAGATAAAAAAGGTACTCGAATTGTTATAAAAAATCGAATAATTAATGATAACATTTCAAAAATTTCTTCTTCTTGCTGATCCGTTTGTTTAAAAAAGGAGAAAAAAAAGAGAAGAAAAAGAAAAATTACAACAAGGAAGGAAAGTTTTCGAAAAGCTTAATATTATTCCCAAAGAAGTTACGGATCGTTCCCGAAACATCGATGCTTGAAACGTTATATGGGCCGAGGACGTTCTTTTCCGAGAATGAAAGCAGTTTTTTTAGAGAGCGATCTATTCTCGCGCGTGAGCCGAGAATTCGCGTCAGAGAAATTGTAATAATCTGCCGAGTGTATCAACTAAAACAAAAGAAAATTCTGTGTCAATCGAACACCCGTCGGCCAGCTTTGTTACAATCTTACAAATGCCAGCAGACATTGTTCAAGGTTTAAAAATGTTATTCATCGCTTCGTTATTAATTAAATTTATGCATGTAACGCATCCTACGCGGTTTTTTATTTTTTATTATTATTTTTTTTTTTTTTTCCCACTTTTAAAACGAGTTACGATACGTACGTAGGAAATGTCAAGATCAAAATGTCTACCGTTATTTTTTCTTTTTTTCTCACGGTCGGTCAAACAGTCATTTTTCTTGGCAACACGATTCATTTCAAGCCTTTGTCTGCTGCCTCTGCGTATTTTCGTTCGCGCATCCATCCACCGGCTGTGACGGCCAAACTGAATTTTTTACCATGTTTGTTTTGTAATGTTAATTCGCGTAGACGGCGTAAAAAAAAAAAGCATATTTGGATGGAAAAAGTTCGACGTGAAGTTCATCTTGATATTTTTCGAATTTTAAAAAGGATTTCTTGTAATATTTTATATTATGAATTTGTAATAAGGAAATTTTAAAAATTTCAATATCGAATATTTGAATTCTTTAATTTAAATTGTAAATAACCTTTTAATTTTCGTGTTCGAAATTGAGAATGAAATCTTCTATTTTATCACAGTTATAGTTATAGTTATGATAATTAATGTATCGAAATTTTCGAACCACAACAATCATCGATTTATCGAAGAATATACCAATTATCAATTTACCAATTTTTACAACTATCTTTTTACTTTAATGTTGCTCTTCTACGTTTTCATATAATTTCAATTACAAATTATATAACAAATGAAAAGATTAAAACTTTATTGAAAATTTTATCTTGTCCATCGAGTTTCGAAGTTTATTGCGAAGAATTAAATATCAACAATAGTGGTTTCGCATTTTAGAAATCTGTTTTGAATATGAAATGAGCTGAAAAAACGTATAAGAAACGAAACGACTATCTGGAAAAGTCAATTAGAAAAAAATATTTGACTCGAAGATGGTAATGTTTTTTTGAGATGTTAAATTTATAGGAAAATATACGTATGATTTCGAACAGTATTTTACAATTTTTAGGTTAAATTTTTAAAAAATTTTCCTTTTAAGAAAATTTGCAATCTTTCAATTCTGGAATAAAAATAAAAAAAAAATTAACAAAGGAAAAAAAATATAAGAAATAATTTTTCCATGTAATTGTTTGATTTTTTCCATAAAAAATCATTCTTAGCCATAGAAATCCAAACAATTCTTAAATATTACCCTAATCCACAACAGATTGATCAATATTTGATTGTTAACTAATTATAAAAATCCAACGAAGGAATTTGAAAACATCAACACCGATTTTTTTATGACCCAGTTGGGGTCACATGTCCTTACACCTTCGATGGAATGTGGGTCGAGTCGAGCATTGTGCTTGAATCCCGTGTCTGAAATTGAAAAGGATCGTCATTCGCCGTTCGTAATAATTTCTTAGATAATAATATTGTCTCAAGATTACATTATAATCTTTTATAATATCATCCCTAACCGATAAAACCGAAATTGGGAAAAATGAAAACGAAAAAGGGAAAAAAGTATTCAGTTTTTATCGAGGTTTCTTAAACAGGTAAATTCGATTCATGTAGATCGAAATTCTTTCGGTATGCATAGTTATTTCATCCGTCTACATACTCGGTGACCATGATTACGAGCGAAAGTCCATTCTTGACTAGTTCTCGTTTTCATTTCTTCCTTTCCGCGTATTTGTTTTCTCTCTCTATGTTCTACATATCAGTATCGCTTTGCAAATTGTCACCAAGCTATTCTTATCATTTCTCTAAAATTATATATCCAATTGAATCTTAATTGAAAAACGTAAACTTATCTTGAATTTAACTCAAATATAATTCAAACCTAACCTAACAAACTCTACTCTAATCTAAAATCCGTTTTAAATTTAATGAAAAATAAAAATTCATATCCTTGTGCAAGCGATGTGTCTTAATTGAAACTTAACCTAAAAAACTATGCGACTTAAACTTAATAAAAAGTAAAAATTCATGCTCTTGTGCTATGTGTGTTTTCAGTGACGAATAATATGATACTCGTGAGGTTAAAAGATTATTTTTTGATCCAGTTATCGATACACCAGAGCTTATACTTTCATTAAAGAGATTAAAAAATAATATAACATTGTTATATCAATCACGACATTACGTTGTAATAATAACAATCCTGCGCCAATAGATTTTATCAATTTTACCCTAGATTCTAGGGACTTTGAAGTATTCGGTAAAAAAAGTAAAAGGTTAATTTAATTAACACGATAATTAAAATAAGTAAAAAAATGACAAAAATTCTTTGATCTTGCGCAATTGCAAATTTACTACTCATATATCAAGTGGCTTGGTTAATAGATATATGAATTATGTATATATTACGAAAAATATACATCGAAGAGGATGAAAAATCAGCTCGAGGGAGATTAGAAATTTTAGTAATTGAGATTTTAAGAGAAAAAAGACAGATTAGTAGTGTGTCAAGGATATCTTTCGAGGTCATCGGTGATCTTTACAAATTTTTTTCCTTTTTTTGGAAGAAAGAAGAATGTACGTTATTTCAGAGTAACCCTGACATTTCAAATATCAAAAAAAAAAAAAATAAAATAAATAAATAAATAAATAAAAGAGTTTATTTGGAAATTTGTATCGTTCTTTCGTATAACAAAAATTAATTCAAAAACTTAAATAAAACTTTGTGAACGAAGAAGTCACGTGATCGTCTAACTAATCTGATTTCTATTATAAAAAGTATTTTAACTCAAAAAAATATAAAGCAATCTCAACACGATGTAATGAATTGAATCTATAAGTATGTTGATCTCAATTAATATTTCGAACATGCTTGAAACATTTATCTTTTTATGAATTTAATTAAATGATTTTTCATTTAATATCAGATAATTTTTTGATATATTCTTTGATAGAAATAAAAAAAAAATAGATTCAGATATTCGGCCCAAAGTGCTACGTTTCACGAATCTGAAAGAAATCGTAAGATCGTAGGTGAAAGCTGCGCTGATTCTTGCAAGTTATTGCGTGAACAGTGCTCGATCGGTGAGGACAGGTCTACTCTCAAAGGTTCCTTTGTTGCATAACTTCATAACGATCACACTATACCATACTTCGATTCACCGTATGATTCATTTTTCGTTATAATTTATTTTCCCGTTTTCCTATTGTATAAGAAATTCTCTTTTTATCTAATTTTTTTTATTTTTTATTTTTTTTTTTTTGCTTTTAATATTGTTACTAATTGTCATCAATAAATGTAAAATTTAATCATTTTATAAGATAAAATCGATCTTCAATCTATGAGATACGACCTTCAAAGAAATGATAATGACATTATGTTTTAATATTTTTCTTATTTTATACAAGGAGAGAAGAGTGTTTCAGCATAAAAAATAATACTATTTTTAAAGTAATGATATTACGCTGTTGTAACGATGTCAATAAAATAAACTTAACGATTCTTAACGGTGCTTTAGCTTACCTTATTATGCGATTCACGTACATAATTCACGCTTTATGGAAATATTATGTGCGTATTTTATTATCGTTTAATTACATTCAGTGCTTCGTGATTTATCATCTATTGAAATTATTGCCTTTTTACTCGACAAACAAATCGCAGACTATTAATTATTGTTTAAATCTTAATGTAATCTTAAATGTACAGTTAAAAAGGAAGAAAAAAAAAATATATATATTGCTTTGTAATTTTTTTTTTTTTTTGTAATTATTTTTCTTCTTCCGTTTAAACAAAAATCATATTTAAAAATTTGTCATTGCGATTAGAAAATTTTTTTTTTACTTCATCATCTTTAATTTTTTCATCTTTTGAAATATTTTGTATAATTAAAAATTGTCCTTTGGTTGCATCAGACTGTTAATAACCTTCGATATATTGTCTGCTCAATTAACGAATCGAAGAAAATGGAAAAAAAAAACTTCTTATATAACACAAAAATACAATTCATAAAAACAATTATTATTAGCTTTAATTGTTAAACCGTGTAAATTAAAACTTTTTGCATACATTTTGCTGTACAATTGTATATCTTTCTTGTTGTTTTCAATTAAAAAAAGACAAGGAAAGACCGTATGATCGTGCTATAAAAATTAACTTTACAATAATGAATTCCTTAGGCAGAATCAGTTTCAACCATAGATCGCAATCAATTCTAGTTAGACCGGTTTTTATTAATAAAAATGTAAATAGGTCCTAATATATTCCGAATACGAATTTATAAATATAACGATAATTAAAATGTTAAGATTATTGAATAAATTATACGAATGTTAAGATATTGAGATAAATTCAAATAATCATTTAATAAAGAAAAGGATGTGTGCGAGAATCAAAAAAAAAAAAAAATTTAATCGAGAATTCAATATTTGAGGAATCGAGTCTTATTTTCTTGAAAAATATTGATTTTTAAAGAAGACAAGTTTACAGTAATTTTTTGCCAATCTTTAAATTGCGTTTAAATGCGTGTTTCAAATGTTTACGCGCTATCCTGATACTATCTTCTCCTTTCTCTTCGACACTTTCACTATCACTTCGAATAACTGTGAATTCTGCTCAGATATTGCTGCTTGCCGTCTCTAGAAATAATACTTTTCACTGAGAAATTATTCTGTTTGTTACGAGAAATTTTTCAAACTATAATTTTTCAATACTCATCAACAATATTAGATTTTTACGAAATAAATTTGTAAATAATTTTTTTGGTAATTGAACAATTACAATTTAGAAGCCAAGGCTTACGCCTCTTTTTAGAACATCGTATCCCTTTCTTTATAAATTTAGTTCTGTCTTTGAGGTATCGAGTTCGTAAATGAATGAGCGACAGTAACGTAGAAGCAAAGTGTCGACTAATTGAGATGATTAGACAGAAGTACAGGCTATTATAGAGTTCGAAACGAAGTAAAGAATCGTACGTTTAAATTGCGCGCGCGTTCTAGTTAAGATGGTTGGAATAACATTGACGTTGGTCCAGCGTTGGTGCGTCCTTAAATTAATTAAACTAGCGCACCAAAATTAACCCAGTTATGCGAAAGAGGATATCGAATAAATTCAACGCGCAGCCGCGTATTGGTGGCGTCAGTACGTGTACGTACGTGAATTGTCTAGTTGTAATAGTGTGCGTGTGTTGTTCATGGACGGTGAAAAGGAAGATGAACAGGAAGAGAAGATGAAATTAGAAGAGGAACAAAAATTCAAGGATATATTAGAAACTCAATAGGAACAAAACGAAAAATGAAGGAAGGAAAAAGAAATTTTAGAATGAAAACAAATTGTAATTTTATAAAGCTTGTCATTTAATAGAACGTTAGAAAGAATCGTGAAAAAGAAAATAAAAAATTTTAATAGAGAAATAAACGTAAGCATTAAAATTTAATCGATCATTTGTAAAATAAATGCAATCATAGAAAGAAAGAGGATAAGGTGAATGCGAGAGTAAAAGGACAATGACTTATATAAGATTACCAACAAACACAAATAATGGAACAAAAAAGGTATATAACTTTAAAGATCAAAAATAGTTCTTTCAGTTCAATACATCAGAGTGGAAAAAAAAAAATCTATAAAGAATAGAGAAAGTAATGAATAATCGTCTGCTTCAAAGCGAGAACGAAGAAGGTAATAGAGAGAATAATAGAGAACCAGCGAGAGTAAAAAAAAATTCAACTTTAATTTCAATATTATATTCAACTCGATCTCTAAAGATCCATTGTCACTATATATAACCTACAGAATTACTTGATCCTTTTTCGTCTGTATGCACATATATGTAGCAAAAAATCACGATGATGTGGAAAAGCACGATGGCTTTGACGAAGAACGAGAGAGACGCATAATCAGAGAGCGTTGGTGTTGGATGCAGGGTGGAGAAGGCAGCAAGAGAGAAAGGGAATGGGAGGACCATCCCAGATGAAGGGAGACAACGATAGAACAGAGAAACAAGACTTCTACATTACCTTTGAAGTCACTGGCTACTACCACTTGCTACCACCGTCGCCTCTATCGGTGGCTGTCTGTACACAGAATGCGCGGGGGCGGCGGTGTAGCGTCATGGCGAATGGAGAGCAGTGATGTTGTCCACGGTTCCACGGATTGATCCCATCGTTCTCTGGAAACGAACGTCGAAGAACACACGAATTACTTTTTCGATAGGCCTAGTATCTTTCACCATGGATTTCCGCGATCCGTGCATTTAAACGTGGTGCACCATTCGACCATCTCTTTTTATTTGACTTCGCGTTAACGATAGTGCATTTCGCAATGTTTGTGAGAGAAATCTGATTCGATTTTCCATCATTATTTTTCCATAAATGCTTGAGAGAACGTTCCTTAAAAAAAAAAAAAAATTATTGTTTAAATTGAAAGAATTGGTTTGTTTTTTTCGTTCTGACTCTGTGGTATACACACATGTTTCATGACGGAGATACCGTAGAGTTAGAAAAAGATTAGATCGGTCTTCTATACGTGTGCGTTCATCATGATATTTTTCTCTCTTAATAAAATTATAATTTGTGAATAATTATCGTTTGGGATTTTTTTTAATAATGAAAAACTTGATATCCGATCTACTATCTTTTAATTAAATTGTTGATCGAGTTGATTGATCTTTGTTTGGATTATTGATAAATTTCATTGTATCAGTAAATAATAATTATAAAATACGATTTTATCAGCATATGATAAAAAAAAAAAGAGAAATCTTGTGCTTAACTAAATATCAAGCTCTTTCAAATTTTTATAAACAAAGGAATTTTCCGGTTTTAATCTTATTATGGTGTGTAAACCTTTGATAAAGAATTCTAAAGAACTCGTGTATCAATATCTCCGTCGAAGATCTCCGCTGAATATCTGAAATGTAAAACTTTCACTAAATTTAATCAATATTAAAATGATGTAATTATGATGAATTTACTAAAAAAAAAAAAACATTAATTTTTAACAAATCATTCTGTTAAATTATTAAAAATATCCCCAACCAACCAATCTATCTCAGTTAAACTATTGAATAAAATTTCTAACAAATCAAAACTTTCCAGGAACCAGTCTAAAGTACCAGTAAAAAGTTTATTATTTTCGAGCAATCAGTTATCGTTTATCGTTCTAAATCTATAAAAAGGAACGTTAAAAATTAAGATTATTTAGAAGAAATATATAATTTAGAAGAAAACTCGAAAACAATTATTCGCATCATCGATGGGGAGGGGCGTCGTCGATCTGATGACGTTCCTGGACGTCTGCCAGCTTTATCTCCAAACCAGACGAAAGTCGCGGAACTTGTGCACGCTTTGGGCCATCGTAACGTTCATTCGCACAGAGGATACCGGTGAATTCCTTCGTTGGTGTCGTGCCTACACGATTCCCTATCTACGTTACAGGAATGCCAGTTCAGGGAACAAAGAGAAACAGAGAGTCGATAAATTGATCCTGAAAGCCCTCCAAGAGTTGTTCTATTGCGGATGTTCACCGCCATCCGATCTTGTCAACGGAAAACTGTGACAAGTTTTTGAAAATGCACCTGTTGTCACACATTGTAGATTACGTTCGTGGAGATTCTTCTGCTCTCGGTCTGCTCTTGGGAATGTAAGTCAGCATTACATTCTGAATTAGAGATGTTCTGTAGTGTTTGAGTAAGATTAAAATATGAGTGTTTAGAAAAAGATTAAGATATATGCTTAATAGATATTCAAGAACTAGATTTACAAAGAAAACATCAAACTGTTATTTGCCAACAAGTGGTGTAAGATGTAGTCATTATTTTCGACGTGTGAAGAGCGTTAATTTGTATTCAATTTTTTCTACGGAATCGTTATGCGATTTCCGTTTTCAATTTGTTTCTCCTTCTGTGTTCCTTTCTTCCACCGTTTTTCTCGTGATGAAAACATGAGTGGACGTCTTGCAGAGTTTCCTTTTCGTTAACGGAAAGACCACTCGACCTGTTTACGTCGACGACATTGACGACGTTGTCGACAAGCGTTGTAACGAGGGCCCTCCATCATGCCTATAAAACTTTGAAAACATTTGTTCGAGAAAGAGCAAGTTATCGTTCTATGATCGATGATGATAATGATGATGAGCTTTTGCCTGTTTGATGAAAAGTGATTAAGATGAAAGATAAAAAAAAAGTGAGGTTAAAACACTCGAAACTTGGAAAACTTTTTTAAAAATCTTTTTAGAATTACAATATTGATAGAATAATTACGTTGCCTTGAAATACATTTAGCCTGTGTATAACAGCTCTACTTTTTTTCAACATTGAAAGCCAGTGTTCGAAACTGGTCTCAAGTGACAGCTGTCCACCGATTATCTCGTGCGTAAAGCAGTGCCGTTCTAGTCAATACACGATTCATTAGAATGTAGGCTAAACCAGGGACGATTAATTAGGTTAAATATGCTACCTGTGGATTCTGGTTCGATACATTTTGCAAAGTTGTTGGAACTACTTTAAAATTTCACGGTTTAATTTTTTTTTTGGCATAAAAATTTTAAACGAAACACTTTTAATGAAAAATTTTTAGTATAAAAATTGAGTGTGAAGATCATTTGATCTCTGTATTTTTTTTTTTTTTATTATTAGTTATCTTCCAATTAAATTTTCCCTTAATTGAGATTTTCTAAAATCACGGAATAAAAAATTAATAAATCTAACTCTGTTTATAATCGTAAAAAAAATTCATCATAAAAAATAAATCGAAAAAATATTAATTATTTCGAATAGGAAATAGTGATTATTTCAAGCATTTTCAGTCTTTGACCATGGAAGTGGATGAAAATCAACTGGACGGAATTTTTCACAGATGATTTTGCCTGAACTTGATGAAAAAGTTTGGACCAATATTTAAAAATAGGTTAGGTTCCCTTAAGGATAGACGATGTATACTTATCTATATACATGGAATATAGAATGTGTTTGGGATTGTTATTTTGGTATCGACGGAAATATCTTCCAGACAAGTATTTATAACTTCATTTTATGTAACCTCCTGTTATTTAAAAGAGATATAAACTTTGATGATATTATAAAGATCTATTTGGTATCATGTTTTTCGAAACATGGTAAACATTCATGATCCCTATACAAACAGAATGCGTGTAAAGAGCACTTGGTAAATGAAAGTGACGAGAAAGTATGAACCGGTATCTTTGAAAACCGGAATCTCTCGTTGATTAAGGAATATCAATCGGTGAATTACCAA